AATTGACTCCACAGCACTTCACAGCAATGCTCAACAAAAGGCAACTACAGCTATTGATCTACAAACCATTCTGGCCAAGTGGATATGCTGGAATTGAGACATCAGAGTAGCTGGCAAGTGAGTTATCTAGATTGTGAAGTCATCTGATTTTAAAGTATCACTTCAGTTTTTTTCCTTACAAAAAATTTCTTTATTTAAACCAAAAAAACCTACTGCCATAAAGTCGATTGACTATAAGTGACCTTATATAGGGCTTCTAAAGCTGTAAATCTTTATGGGAGCAGAAAGCCTCTTTCTCCTGAATAGTGTCTGGTGGATTCAAACTGCTGAAGTTGTGATTAGCAGTCTGACACTAACTACTAGCCAAAACCAGCTGTACTAAAGTACAGGGAGCAACTAGAACTATCATGAATTACTTACTCGTGGTAATGCAAAAAAAACAGTCACTTTGCAAAATACTTTGGCAATTTCTTATTAACATATGCGTTACAATGCCCAGCAATCTCACTTGTAGGTATTTTTCTAAGTAAAACAAAAACCTTACAAGGATGTTTATGCTGTTGTTGTTATGCTGTGGAGTCGGTTTTGACTCACTGGTAGCGTAGTGGCTACGAATCGGGCTGTGAACCTCAAGGTCAGCAGTTCGAAACTACCAGCTGTTCCGCGGGAGAAAGATGAGGCTTTCTACTCCCGTAAAGATTTACCGCCTCGGAAACCCTGTACAGGGTCATTATGAGTCGGAACCGACTCCACGGCACATGACAACAACAACAACAAGCCTGTATAGAGTTTCCCAGGCTGGAAGTCTTGACCGGAACAGAAAGACTCATCTTTCTCACACAGCGGCCGGTGGGTTTGCAGTCCAGTGCTTATCCTACAGTGCTACCAGGGCTCCATTCAATGCTTTTGTAGTGTTTATTTATAATCACTAAAAACTGGAAGCAGCCCAAATGTCTCTTGACTGTGGACTGGCTAAATTAATTATTGTCCATTCATACTGGTGTGGAATTGACTCAGCGGCACTTAACAACAATTCATACAATGGAATACCGTTGTTGTTAAGTGCAGTCGAGTGGGTTCCATTCGTCTCATAGCAACCCCCGTATAGGGTTTCCAAGGAGCAGCTGGTGAGTTTGAACCATTGACTTTGTGATTCAAACCGACCTTGCAGTCTAATGCTTTATCCCACAACGTATACCAGGACCCCATACAATGGAACAGTTGTTCTTGTTAAGTGCTGTCGAGTCGATTCCAATCCATCGCGACCCTGTATAGGGTTTCCAAGGAACAGCTGGTGAGCTTGAACCGCCGACCTTGCAGTTCAAACGGCTTTGCAGTCTGGCGCATTAACCCACAGCGCTACACCAGCACTCACAGTACTTAGTAATAAAAGAGAAATGAACTAGTAGTACGTAGAACAGAGGGGACGATCTCAAAAGCATTATGCTAAGTGAAAGAAGTCAGACTCAACTGGCTACATATTACATGATTCTATTTACATGACATTCTGGTAAAGGAAAAACTATAGCGACACAAAACAACAGATCAGTAGATGCCAGGAACTGGAGTTGGGAGTCGGGGCAGTGGTTTGACCACTCAGCATAAAGAAATTTTAGGAGGTGATGGAAATGTTCTGCACCTTTATTGTGCTAGTGATTATATGGCCCTTAATTTTGTCAAAATTCAGGAACTAAAAAAAGGTTACTTTAATTGTGTGTAAATTTTACCTTAATAATAATAATAAACAGTTAAACAGCAAGGGGTGGCAGGAGGGGAAGCATAAAATGGCTATTGTTTGATTGTTGTTGGTGTTGTTAAGTGCTAGTCGGTTCTGACCCATTCCGACCCATAGCGACCCTGAACAGGGTTTCCTAGGCTGTAAATATTTACGGGAGCAGAACACCTCATCTTTCTCCCGTGGAACAGCTGGTAGTTTCGAACTGCTGACCTTGCAGTTCACAGCCCAATTCGTAACCAGATACACACATACAAAGCAATATATTTTATTCATTGCTATGTATGATTATTTTGTTTTATAAAGACAATCTTCTTGAGTTAAGACTACAAACTATTTGAGATCTTTAGAAAAAACAAACAAGTATATACAAGCATAATTTTAAGATCTATTCAGTGAAGTAACATCTACAGTGCTCTAAAACCATGCACTTTCTGGAATACTAGACAATTAAGAATTCCAAAAAATTATATACTGTGAGAACAGCATTTGGATTGTTCACAGGAAGCCAGATTATTTAAAGTATGCTCTTAATTGAGATAACACAAAAATGTATTGCAAACAATAAAGTTCTCTGCAAAGAGAGTAGTATGGTAAAGATCTCAAGTTTTAGCATCAATCTACGTGGTTTGAATCCTGTCTACCTCTCGTTAGCTATGTGACCCACTAAGCTTTATTCTCCAAACTGTAAATTAAATTAATAGATTAAATGAGAAAATATCTGTAGAGCACTTAGCACAGATAAAGTGTGAAATGTATGTAATGCTAGAAATTTTAAGAAATTTTTCATATTTTGAAGTTCATTGCAAACACTATCTTCTTTCTGGAAGTAGGACTTCCAGGCGCATCCCCATCAGAGTTTTCAAAGAGACTGCTTGGAGCCGCAGCAGCTAGGACAAGGGGTTGCCCCTCAGTGGTCCTTATTGTTGTCTTTCATATCTGACTGTTAGCAGTGTCCCTCCTCCCCTCCTGCAGTTAACAGGAGAATGATGAAGTGGTTGTACCTGTAAAAAGTTCAAACAGGTTGGGCTACATAGAGGCAAAGGAAGAGCCAGGTGCATAAAATTTAAGGAATTCTGCTGGTTAATGCACTGGACTGCAAGTTGATTTTAACCTCAAGGTTCAAGGTCACTAGCCACTCCTCAGAAATCCTATAGAAGGTCACTAGAAGTCGGAACAGACTTGCCTTGCCGGCACTTAACAATAACAAGACAGCACTTAACAACAGCAACAACAACTGTTCCTCATGGGGTTCTGATGTTGTGCTGTAGGATAAGCACTAGACTGACAACCTCAAGGCCGGCAGTTCAAACCCAGTAGCCACTCCTAGGAAACACAATACAGGGTTGCTATGAGTTGAAACCAACTCCACAACACTTAGCAACAACAACAACATAGACACCTCCCAAGGAGTCCTAGTGGCATAGTGGGTTAAGCATTGGGTTGGGAAAGGTTCGCAGCTCCTCCTTGGGAGAAAGAAGTGGGCTGAACCTGTTTAATCTCAGAAACCTGAGGAGTGGATCTACCACGTCCTGTAGGGTTACTAAGAATCAGAATGAATTCCATAACAGTGCAGATTTTTGTTTCTTTTTCCTTTTTCTCTATTTAGACACCTCATAAGGAGCCACCGTGGCGCAGTGGTTAAAGCGCTCTGCTGCCAACCAAGAAGTCAGAGCGGTTGGTAACAAGCAGCTCTGCTGGATAAAGATGTAAAAGTCATCTTCCCTAAAAACATTTACAACCTTGGAAACCCTATGAGGCAGTTCTACCCTGTCTCTTCTGGAATCACTATGAATTGTAATTGACTTGATGGTATGACTTTGATATTTTTGGGTTTTAGGCACCTCATTTGCCTTACCATAGTCCTGGTCCACCTTCACTCGAAAGTTTTTATTTGCATTGCTCGTGATACTCTGCATTCCTTTACTGGTGGTGGTTATGTGCCCTGGAGTCAGTTCCGACTTATAACGACCAGGTGCAGGGTTTCTGAGGCTGTAAATCTTTATGGGGGCAGAAAGCCTCGTCTTTCTCCCGCAGAAAAGCTGGAAGTTTCGAACTGCTGATCTTGAGGTTCGCAGCCCGAATCGTAACCACTACGCTATCAGTTTAAACCACAGAAAAAATCTTTAAGCTTTTGCTTCATTTAGAGCCGGCGAAGATTGATACAGTTTTGTGACTAATGATTAACCTTTAATAAAGTTATTGTGTTCTACAAATTCTATATGTTAGTTAACCTTCTTGAGTAACTTTAAAATTTAATCTTGTTCCCCACTCCCACCCCTCTGTTAATACAGGAATCTCTCTTTGAAGGAATCTCAAACTTCACTGACAATAAGTGATATGCACGAACCTCACCACCTACGTAAATCAAAAGAAAATTCACTTATGGAAAACGAGTCAATTCAACCTACAGTGATGTGAAACTTTGATTTTAACTTCAAAGTACTAAGCAACAACATCTTTGGGGGTTTGTAGTTTTATCGAATCTCGTCATATACAAAAAAAATCATTAGTTTCTTGTTTGGTTTTGCTTCTTTATAGAATCTGAAACATTGCTTTCCACGTGTAAAATCAAGGAATTAGTTGTATTATTCCTCATTCATATAACTTATGGGAAAATAAAGATGCTTTCCTCATTCACCAAAAGAAAGCTTTTTTTTTTTTTTTAATCAATGAAATTATGGTGTACTTCTTTCTTGTAATTAACAATTATTGGGTGAGAATTAAGATAAAAAACTGAAAACCGTTCTGATTCACTAATATGTGGGCAGGTATACCCAAATATAACACGTACCATGATTACTATCTGTTGTTTGGTAGTTCTAATTCAAAACGCTACTGGAAAGCATTAAGACTATGCCGCATGTAGTAGTTTTCATTAATGGATTTTTAATTTAATGTTCGGATTTGATCCAGAGTTAGATAAAATGTCCTGCTCTTCGATTGCAGGCTGTTTCATGTACGCATTACGTTACTGAAACGTATTGTGTGTCCACTCAGACTTTCCCTATGAAGGCTATGGGGAAATAAATGGAATAAGCTCTCTGTTCCGTTAGCGAGAGTGGCGGGTCGGAGCGCAGGCTCTGGACGAGACTCAGGGCGCAGCACCGGATATTCAGAAGCGCCTTAGAACGGTTTCCTCCGCGTATAATGCACACCGCTCTTCCCCCGGGTTCACACGTACACAACGTCTCATATAAGTTTCCCGCAGCCAGGAAAGAGTCATAGGTCTAAACAGTGAAACAAAAACGCGATTGCCCCATAGGGACAGCGGAGCCGGCGGCAGGTGTCCGAGTCCCCTGAGCCAGCGCACCCGTGAGCATCGTCCGCGGGCCTACAGTTCACTCGGTTTTTAGGAACTTCCAAAAGTAGCACAGACTGAAGTGCAGCTCAGCTCTGTGCGTCTCACTAAGGTGACCCCCGAGTAGTGAGGTCCAGGGACTACGACTTTAAATAATCAAGACAACTTGAAACATCTGGCCTGGTAGAAAACCAAACAAAAGCTAGCCAGCGAATTGGTACATCGAGGTATCCTCAAGAAAAGGAAAATTCAAGATCAACAAAACGGCAGCGTTCCTCAGTTGGGCATGGCCGCTGGGAGAGGTCCGGGATCAGATAGGGCCCAGGTCCGAATCCCGAAAGAAGGGGCTGGCAGCGAGCTAACTAGCGGCCTTGAACCTAGACTAGATCCTGATCCAGCTCTGGTGGGAGCAGCAGGCACCCAACACTGAGAGCGCCGTGGACTTCTACCTCGTGGAGAACGAGGACTATGAGGGAGTGGAGCCATTGTTAAATTCCGGGCTGCAACAACAACAAAAAAGATCAGTGGTTGGAAGGAACCCATCAGCCGCTCCACGGACAAAGATTAGGCAGCCTGCTTTGAAAACCCTATGAGGCACTTCTACTCAGTTCTGTACATTGGTCGCCGAGGCTCCGATGAATTCCTCCAAAGCCGGTGTCGTTTAGGGGCGGGGCAGGGGGCGGGGCCTTGCGGATGCCCCGTGCAGACAGGCTGTATGATTAATGACTCTCCGTCTAGGGGGCGGCTCTGTGGGACCTCAGCTCGGCGTCTGGAGGGCGCGGGCCTCAGCCTCACCGGCGGTCGCAGCTGAACGTCAATGCGGTCAGCAGGCACTCTCCACTGCTGAGCGCCTGCATAAAAGGCGCATCCAGACGGGCTAGAGCGGCCTCTGACTTAGGTTGGACGAGGATGGAGTGAGCGGCGCGGCCCTGGTCACAAATACCCCACCCGACGCCACTGACCCATTCGCGCGGCGGAACCCAGCCCCGCACGGCCGCTCCAGGAAAGGTAAGCTCGCCCACTCCCGCTAGTCCCGACCTTATTCCCGCGGCGCCTCGTGGTCACTGCCCCGAGTTCGAGGTGAGGGCAGGGGCCTCCACTCCTTCAGTAGAATTCTCCTAAGTTCCCCCTAGGATCCGGACCTCGAGCGCAAAGCGGACTCCACACTCCGGAGCAAGCGGCGCGAGGGCAGCTGGCACTATGGGCCGTGGCGATGGCATAGCTGTCTCCAAGGCATTTCCATCGCCCCGCCGCACTCGGCGGGATCGCTCCGCACCACCTCTCCTGTGGGACTAGCCCGATAACTTTTAAGAAGAGGAGCAAGTGCCAGCCCGAAGTTGTGATGCCGATTCTTTCCCGGTATAGAAGCGCTTTAACCAAATTTGAATGAAATTTAAAGCTAGTACTGCGCTCTCTCCCAAACTTCTAAGGATCCCGTGAAGTCTCGGGACCCTGATTTCTCCCACAAGCTGGGAGGAAAAATTCATCCAAGGGGTCTCGGAAAACGCCCCCTGAGCCATGCAGGGCATCAGGGGACTGGACGGTCTTCTGGTCCACCGGGCAAGTGCTCTCCACCTCACCGCGCCTTCTGCCTTTTGCAGCGCGCGCGGTGCAGTAAGCCACCATGGACGGGGACGGTTCGCTAAACGCCCGCTCGGAGCCCGCATCCCCGGCTGCCGCCGCCGCCCATGACTCAAGCCCCAGCGGGACGGGATCTGGCGGCGGCACGCGCTCTGGGGGTGGTCGGCCGGCGGCTGCCAATGCAGCGCGGGAGCGCAGCCGCGTGCAGACCCTGCGGCACGCCTTCCTGGAGCTGCAGCGCACGCTGCCGTCTGTGCCGCCCGACACTAAGCTGTCCAAGCTGGACGTGCTGCTGCTGGCCACCACCTACATTGCGCACCTCACCCGTAGTCTGCAGGACGACACCGAGTCGCCGGCGGATCCTGGGCTGGGCGCCCTGCGCGGAGACGGCTATCTGCACCCTGTCAAGGTAGGCGCTCAGGGTGCACTGCGGTTCTGGGACAGGAAACAGGGCCCCCAACATTCGCCCTCTCTGTCTGTCAGCCAGCTCGTGCGGTTATAAAATCTTTACAGAAGCCGCTGCCATGTCTTTCTCACACTGAACTGGGTGCTCTTTTCGTTAGCAGACGAACGTTTAAATACTACGCCAACCAGGGCTCTTTCCCATAGCTACCAAGAATGTTGTTGTCGAGTCGGTTCCGAACCATAGCGACCCTGATTGGGTTTCTGAGGAGCAGCTGGTGAGTTTGAACCGCCAACTTTGCTGTGCAGTCTGGCGCATCAACCCACAGCGCCACACCAGGACTCTAATACTAAGAGTAACAAGCATAAGACACGTTTGTCCATGTAATCGCTATAATGGGGTGGAATGTATGTTGGGTAAATTGATCAGGTATTTTATTCCATATTCTGTGATGGACAAAAAGTAGCTAAGAGAATCAGTCTTGTATAATTTGTTTACATTTCTTATAGATAGAATGGTCAGAGTTTTTGTTTAATAGGATATATATGCTTACCATTTGTTTTCTAGATTGCAGTATTTAGACTTTTTTTTCCTCCTAGATGATTTTTTTAAACCTTACATAAATATAGCTTTCTGTTCAAAATACATCATCTTCCCTGTAATTCCCTGAACTTAAATTTTCGAATTTTTATTAAATCATTCTGACCTTTTTTACCATACGCACACACACAAACACAAAATTGAAATTTAGCTATAAGTAGCCAGAGTTCAATAAATTGTTTAATAAATTATTCTTGAAATATGTTAAACTACATCCTTTAATAATAATTGAACTCACAATTTTGTGGTGAGGTTTCACATAATTTACTTTGTAAATACAATCAAATGTTGAGCGAGCCAAACCATTTTAAATATTAAATATAAAAAATTATTTATTTGCATTTATAATCGAGCTTATACCTTTCATAAACTTTATAATGTAATCTCAGTTGAAAAGTCCCTCATTAAAGGCTTTTGTATTATACTGTGCATTAAATAGCCATTCAAATATACCATTAATGTTATATTTCTTTTGAAATTTTCCATGTATTCTAAGAACATTCCTTTAAGTAGATTTTAATATAAAAGGCATCTTTTAAATGTCCCTTTGTGCGAGATGCAATCAGAAAATAAAAACCAAATTGCTATTTGCTTTTTGAGTAAGTGGTGTGGCGGTGGTGTTCTATGGAATTGGTTCCCACTCATAGTGAGTCTGTATAGGATTTCCGAGGCTGTAAATCTCTACAGAAGCAGAAAGCCTCATCTTTCTCCCATGAAATGGCTGGTAGTTTCAAACTGCTGATCTTGAGGTTAGCAGCCCGACTCATAACCACTACGCTACCAGAGCTCCTTAAGTGATGTTAGAACAATCATTTTCATGTAGCAGTAAGTGTAACAAGAGTTTCTTTGTACTTGACTCATTTACTTAATTCATACTTTCGTAATCATAATTATTTTGAGAAAAATAAAATCATTTTGCCCTGTGAATCAATTATTTGGGCTTTAACAGACAACTCTTTAAATAATGATATGTGACCGAGGGTTACATTTTAAAATGAAATTGATAATGTTTGGACAACTAATTATGTTTTTAAAATCAAACATTTATTGAGTGCATACTAAGTGAGTAATAATCCCTGCCTTAAGCAAAAAATACAAATAATAGTACTATAGGGCAGAATGTTCTGTGTCCCATAAAAAGTGATAAATAATCATGTTGTGGGGGTTCAGAGGAAAGAGATTTTACATACATAAATGAAATGGTCTGTAACTCATTGTTTTACAGACACTCTCAAAATGTTGACATTAGATTAATACAAAAAGAATAAAATACTCTGACTTTTGAATTTTTTGATTAACTGAAGGTCCATTATAAACTATCGTTGTTGTTGTTAAGTGCCGTCGAGTCGATCCCAACTCATAGTGACCCTGTGTAGGGTTTCCTAGGAGCAGCTGGTGAGCTTGAACCGCCAACCTTGCAATTCAAAGGACTTTGCACTCTGGCGCATTAACCTACAGGGCCACATCAGGACTTCTAAGCTATTGTAACCCCTAGTAAAAAGTGTTTTTAAATGACTTTTTATTTTTCTGCCTCACAACAGTGTTACTATCAGTCTTGCTTTGATAATTAAAGTCTTTTAACAAGTATCTCAAAGCCACTTTTTTTTTTCTTAAATGTTTTATTGTGAATTATGTGATAGTTTACATGGGAGAACATTAGTTTTACATTCATTCTATCCTATATCATCTCATTGCCATGGTTACAATCCCCTCCATGCATCCATCATCAACCAACCCTCTCTGGATCTAAAGTCTCCAGCTGCTCCATTGCTCCACGTCATCATCTCTGCCTCCATTTCAGGCATCACTGCTTCTCTGGGTAGGGTCCCAATCTCTGCTCTTCTCCCTAGATGGTCCTAGGGACCTCTGCTCCTAGACTAAAAAGTTAATCACTCCCCTCCTTACTATAAAACGTCCACCTTTACATTTCCAACCCTCACAATCAGTCCTGATAATAATTATTCACTATTGTATCACTAGAGACCCGTCTGCATTTCATTGCATCAGCCCCACCTAGACAGATTGAATACTACTCACTGGAGATTCTACCTTCCTCCATGCCCTCTGGATCTAGGTTCCCTCTTGAAAGTTTATAAGCCAGTCACTTCTTGCCTTTGTAGCCCCCCACCCCCCATTTTGGGTAGCCAATGTCCAAGTTGCCCATCCCTGTCTACTGTGTGTGTGGAGGGGGTGGGAATGATTCTTGCTGTAAGGACTTGTTCCCTCTTTTGAGCTACTGCTTCCATAGATGTAGGTCAGGTTCATCAAATTGTATGAAAATTGTTTGAGAATACATTTTTTTTTCCCCCTCTTCTTTTTACTTCTGGTTGAGCTCTGATCATCCAGTCACTGAAGCCAGGATAAGTGGGTATTATCTGCAAGTGTGGGTGTTCTTATGCATATGCCCTCTCTTCTTTTCAGCTGGAAGCTTCACTCTCCACTCTAGTCCTCTGTGGCTATGTCACTGACTCTGGGCCCAAGAGTCCGCAGGTCTTTAAAAGCCTTTTTTGAACCAGTAGTTCTCCTTATCAGTTTCATTAGCATTAGGAGTGGGAGAGATTTGTGTTACAAGAGTATCTCATTTGTAACTGAAAGGTTTAAGAGGCTGGGATCCTGGGGTGTAGCCTAAACTGGGGCTTTTAGTCCTTTAGAATACACCTGACTCCTTATCAGCATCATGGCTCTAAGGGCAGTGATTCTCCTAGAAAACTGGAGTGTATTTGATTCTTATGCTGAGGTTTCGAAAGCACAAGTGACTTTATTAATGCTTCATCCCTTGAGAATGATTATCATAGATAGCCAATAATCTTTAAAATAATCATAGGGTTTTGTTACTTTGTTGTTGTGGTGTGCCTTGGAGTCCGTTCCGACTCATAGAGACCCTGTACAGGGTTTCTGAGGCTGTAAATCTTTATGGGAGCATAAAGCCTCATCTTTCTCCCGCGAAACAGCTGGTAGTTTCGAACTGCTGACCTTGCAGTTCACAGGCCAATTTGTAACCACTATGCTACCAGATTTCCTTAGGGGTCATTTAACTCCTAAAGTTAAATATTAAAGTCTTCATTTTCAGATCCAATTCTATATCAGTTTCCTGTGATTTTTTTTTTTAATCTTACTGAAACAACATGGTTTTAAATATACCTTACTAGGGAAAGTAGAGGAGTTCTGGTAGCATTGTTGTTGTTGTTAAGTGCCATCGAGTCGGTTCGACCCATAGCGACCCTGTACAGGGTTCTGGTAGCATAGTAGTTACAAATCGGACTGCGAGCCTCAAGGTCAGCAGTTCTAAACTACTAGCTGCTTCGCAGGAGAAAGATGAGGCTTTCTGCTCCCGTAAAGATTTACAGCCTTGGAAACCCTGTTCTGGGTCGGAACCAACTCAACGGCACTTAACAACAACAACAAGGAAAGTAGAGCTCAGGATTGTGTTAATCTACACAATTCAAGAACAAATCATTGAAAGTAAAATGAAAATCAACTGACTTGGCATCATGCTAGCATACAACCTAACGAATGTTTTATTTACATATTAATTTCTAATTATTTATGTGTCTACATTAAATTTAGTTGAATGAAATCATTATAAGCCATTTTGAAATTTCAAAGGCATAAAGTACTTTAAGAGGACAGTTTTATTATTTGATTCAATCCATGAAAAATGATACAAAAATCTGCATGTACATTTTTAGATATTAAGTTTTTCAGTTATTTAAGTTTTAGTAAGGATGAAAGGACAGAGCCTTCATTTGTCTCCCTTTACTTAGAGTTGCATGATATAGAATGGCACATACCCAGATCAACTAGAAACATTCAGTAATATTTTGCTTTGATTTGTTTTGAGATTAATTTAATCCACACTGAATCCTCAAATTACACATGAGATTTAAACATGAGGTTTTTTTATGCTCATGAAAATGGGGCAGGGTTGAAAATACGACTTATGTAGTGTTTTATCATCATCATGCCTATATAGAAAATTATTTGAAAGGTAAGTTTAGAAAAGTCATAATCAATACAAATAATACAAATTAATTTAACAAAAGGTTAATTATGCCAGTCAGGATATTAATCTGGATTTTCTATTTATAAGAACACTGAACATTCTAATCTTTGCAATTATCTAGGTAGTTGCTCTTAGCAGGTAAAACATCTACATGGTTGAATTAGTCAATTTACATTATGTTTATTTGATAAGTGTAGATATATAATACTTACTATGTATGGAGTCCCTGGGTGGTGCAAACAATGTGCACTCTGGTAACCTAAAAGTTAGGGGTTCAAGTCCACCCGGAGGTGCCTCAGAAGAAATAAGTTTAAAAAATATCTTTATAGTCAGCAATTCAGTTTTAGGCTTAATTTTGTTTTAGAATTAGTTTGAAATAAAAACATTGTAGGTGGGTTTATTTTTATACTTTAATAATATTTGCTTTCCATGATTTCTTATAGCTCTTGTCCAGATACATGTTATTATCATAAAAGTCTGGGTGTTTTCCTTTTGTTATTAGCTTAAATAAATATTATTAATGTCTCTTAAATGGCATAATTATAATTATTCTTGTTACATAATACTGTATAGTTCATTTGCTTTGAGGTTTTTAGAATATACAAAGGGTTGGTTTTTTTAAAGTTTGTGGGAAAATTCCATTATCTTTTAATTCCATTTTCCCACAAACTTTTTGAAGCTCCAGTGTATGTCAGAGAGACTAACTTTTATTGTGTAAATATTTAATTTTAATATTTAAATATTCTTTTTGTTGTTGTTTTTCAGAAATGGCCCATGCGATCAAGATTATACATTGGCGCTACTGGTCAGTTTCTAAAGCATTCTGTCTCAGGAGAGAAAGAAAACCATGGTAACACTTCACCTGACTCACAGACTTAGACTCACCTCGGGTAGGGATTGGGAGGAATGGTGGTTATCGTCTTAAATAGTATGAAGTAATTCTATATTTATTACATCAAATATAACAAATTTCATTTCTGAAAGTTTATATATTCGTGCAATGTTTGATATTCACATTTATCATCCAATCTAAATAAATGTGGGATGAAATATTCATTCTTATATAAAACTCATAGCTTATCCAGTATGAGAAGTAATCACTACTATATTGAGCAAGAGAAATTGTTGGGGGGGAAAAAGAAAGAAAAACACACAAAAGCAAAAAGCTATGTACATATACAAAGAATTCACACATTTTCTGTAATGTATCTATTATAAATTAAAAAGCTGATAGACATCAGTATGTCTTCCTAGCTTTAAAAAAAAGTGTGTTTTTAATACACCCCGTTTCCATTTTTGTGAAAAAGTCTGTGTTTATAGCTGCTCCAAGAAGACCTTTCATTTGGCAAACCAAAGTCATTTACTCAGTTTTAGCTGAACGTGTGTGAAAAGACTCTTGAAGTACCATGAAGATGCAGTAACTTCTCTAACTAGTTTTTCCCTCTTAGAAAATTTACTTAGAGTATTAAAAATAGTGTGCTCCAAAGGACAGGATTGGGCATCCTTCCTCTAAGATTAAATATTGCATTTCTAAATGGTGAAAGGAATGCCCTGCAGTCTAGGATGAGCAGACTGGGTGGCGTTGGGTGGCAGGGATTGCCACCCTCCTCCTTGGTCACTCTGTACCCACCCACCTTCTTCTCTCAGGTCCTTGTTAGGTGGTTCAGCAGCCACCTAGGGGTGTGGTATGCACAGGCCTGTTAGAAGAAGCTTCGACTAGTTTCTTTCTTCTCCCCTTGCCACATCCTGTTCACAGTCTGTCACTTGACCATTATGAAAAGTGGAAAAAATTCTGTCTGACTTGGGAGTCCTGACATTGATCTACACCTTGAGAGGGGGGTATGAGAGCACAGAGTGACTGTCCTGAGATTGAATTCAGACCCTCTGACTCTGCCCTGATATGAGCCCACAACCAGGGAAGGCTCTCCACAGGGGCACCAAGTACCCAGGGAGTAGCTAGGGAATAGCTGTTTGGCCTGCATGCAACCACTTGCTTCCGTTTTCCACAGGATGAGGCTGGGCATGGGCGGGAGGGAGCTGTAATGATATTTTTCAGGGAACAATGAACACCAAAGCCACAGGTCTGCACTGGTCTGTCTCGTCATGTCACCTGATTTGGTCTCTTATCTCCCTTTCCTGCCTTTCAGTCATAAATGACAATTTTTATTTTTTGCTAATTTTCTTCAGTCTTTACTATTCCCCTTTCCAGTTATGAAGTTCAGTGATTTCTCAATACTGCAAGGTTTTAGAGTTGCTGAATTTGACCCGAGGTTAGCAAATAGAAAAGGCATATTTATATTTGGTTGAATTCATATGGCAATTGAACCACCATTTTATATTCTCTCCACTTCCGTTTTCTTTTAGCTTTTGGCAGTGAAATGAAGTATAAGGCCATTTGAAGGCAAAACCACCATTCTGTTTATTCGTGAGAACATGACCTTTATCTTGTTTGTTTCTCATATATGATAGTTTGTCATTTTTATTATTTTAATATGAATATACTCCTTATAATGTGACCAAAGCATACCTTTTTAAAAAGAAAAGGCATATAATAAAAGCTTTTGATGTGCTAATATGTAGCAAAAATGTTTGTACATATAAATATTTGTGAATATATTTACTCACTCATAATATATAACATTGAAAGGAATAAAAATAAAATGAAAATTGAGTTCAGCCATTCATTGTTAGAGTTATTGGCATAGCAAGTACTAAAAATAATTTAAGAATGGAATACATTTTTGGTGATATAACTGGAACATTTATATATTTCCTTATTAGCTTTTACCCAAACATCTTTTTAAAGTTAAAACATTATCCATAGCCCTGGTAGCACAGTGGCTAACAAATTGACCTTCTAACTCCAAGGTCAACAGTTAGAATCTGTCAGCCACTCTGAGGGAGAAAGATAAAATTCAAACTGAGCTTTAAACACTAAGGTTGATAGCAAAAATGTCAGAAAAGTGGTTTTATCTTACTAATGGTGGTGGTGGTGGTTACGTGCTGTGGAGTTAGTTCCGACTCTTTACGGGAGCAGAAAGCCTCATCTTTCTCCCGCGGAATAGCTGGTAGTTTTGAACTGCTGACCTTAAGCTTCGCAGCTCGATTCATAACCACTGTGCTACCACCAGAGCTCCTTATCTTACTAATAGTGCTAATCTATTTGCTTGACTACCATTTTAAAAGCATTCAACTGACATGTGTTGAATTACTGGATTTTTCAAAATCCTGTTAAATAGTCAAGTATTTCTGTCATAGATTGTTCTTGAATTGTATTAAATTCCTAAATATGTTAACAGTTATTGGTAGGTTGGAAAACGTCAGAGGAGAAATTGCATATTCAGGGGGCATGCTGTTTTAATTAATGGTGCATGGTCAAAATAAGCAATAGTATCAACATTAAATAAAGCACTAATTTGAAAATTAATTTAGTCCGTTTGTTCAATTTGCATGTCTCTATGGGTATCTAATGAACACTGATGGTACACTTGAAAATCTGTTTAGAAAATAGATACCTACTTGGTAGCTTCTACACCATCTTGTTTTTTACAGATTATCTATCAGGGTTAATGGAGAGTGCTCTAGTATTTGGATTATAGTAGTATTATCAGTTTGACTAAGGTGCATCTGACCAAAGCCATCGTATTTTTAATAGCCTCATATTAATGTGAAAGTTGGACAATGAGTAAGGAAAATAAGAAAAAATCGAGGCATTTGAATTCTGGTGTTTAGAGAAGAATATTGAAAGTACCATGGACTTCCAGAAGAACAAACAAATCTGTGTTGGAAGAAGTACAGCCAGAATGCTCCTTAGAAGCCAGGATGGCGAGACTTTATCTCTCATACTTTGGCCACGTTATTGTTGTTGTTGTTGTTAAGTGCTGTTGAGTCAATTCCAACCCATAGCGACCTTGTATGGGGTTTCCAAGGAGCAGCTGGTGAGCTTGAACCGCCGACCTTACAGTTCAAATGGCTTTGCAGTCTGACGCATTAACCCACAGCGCTACACACACATTTGTTATTAGGGAGAAATCAATTACTGAAAAAGGACATCATGCTCGGTAAAGCAAAAAAAGGAAGACCCTCCCCAATGAGATGGATTGACACAGTGGAAGCAGCAATGGACACAGATCTAACAGCAATTGTGAAGATGGTGCAGGACTGGGCAATATTTCGTCTGTTGTGCATAGGGTCACTCTGAGTTGGAAACAACTCGACGTCACCTAACAACAACATTATCCCATAGGGAGCCCTGGTAGCGAAGTGGGTAACAAATTGACCTTCTAACTGCAAGATCGGTAGTTAGAATCTATCCGCCACTCCGAGGGAGAAAGATAAGACTTTCTACTCCTGTAAAGATTAACAGCCTCAGAAACCTTCTACTGGGTTACTATGAGTAAGAATCGACTCTATAGCATACAGTCACCACCGCGGCCACGATTGTCCCGTAATCTGCATGCAAAATCCTCAAGTAAATGTCTGTCAATGCAGCTGTCTCAGTAATATGACTTACATTTAAACTTTTAAAATGATAATTTGGGGGGATGAAATTTTTTGAGGCATACGCAATTCTAATAAAACCCCAAACCCAGTGCTGTTGAGTTGATTCTGACTCAGAGATTCTACAGGACGGTAAAACTATTTCATAAGGTTTCCAATGCTGTACAACTTTATGGAAGCAGACCGTCTCATCTTTCTTCTGTAAATCAGATTGGAGGTTTGAACCACCCTAACCAGTTCTAATGTACTCAAAAACAGTTTCTTTTTCAGGTTATAAAAGTATAAGTAATGAAATCCTGATGGATCTCTTGTGATACAATAGTGAATAATTGTTATCTGGACTGCATGTGAGGGTTGGAATTGTAAAGGTAGAC